AGATTGAAACGCAATCAGAATTGCTCCAAACCTCTGCGACAACTCGCCCCTTTCGTGGACGCGCGCGGAGTCCTCAGGGTGGGCGGTAGACTCACGCACTCCGCAATATCTCATGAGGCCAAGCATCCCGCGTTATTGCCCGGTAAGCACCGGCTCACGGAACTTATAGTAGAGCGCACCCACCGCTTACACTTGCATCCGGGGCGTCGAGCGTTGCATTACCTACTACTGCAGCATTTTTGGATTCTGGGGGCCCATCAGGCCATCAAACGTTGTTTGTCGCGTTGTTACCAATGTTTCCGGGCGAACCCGCGTACCTTGCAGCCGCCCATGGCGGACCTACCGCTCGACCGGGTACGTCAGGCCAAACCCTTCTCAATCGCCGGGGTCGACTACGCGGGCCCCTTCTTCGTATATAATCGTCGTTCTCGCGGGGCAACGCCGTTCAAGGCGTACGTGTGCATTTTCGTTTGCTTTACCACAAAGGCGGTTCATTTGGAACTTGCTTTTTCCTTATCTACAGACTCGTTTTTGTCGGCTCTGAGGCGTTTCATCGCTAGGCGCGGTCGCTGCTCGCGGATCTACAGCGACTGCGGCACCAATTTCGTGGGGGCTCAGCGCGAGCTCGTCAGCTGCATGGAGGCGGCCTCAGGGCGAGAACAAATCCAGTGGTCCTTTAACCCCCCTTCCGCGCCACACTTTGGTGGCCTCTGGGAAGCGGGGGTTAAGGCGACAAAAACCCACTTGAAACGCGTGGTGGGAGCGCAGATCCTCACGGTGGAGGAATTCAGTACCCTCCTAGCACAGGTAGAATCCATCCTGAATTCCCGACCTTTGTGCCCCACCAGCTCGGATCCCCACGACCTCGGGGTGCTCTCCCCGGGGCACTTTATCACATTAGAGCCGCTCGTAGCGGTTCCCTATCCCGACCTAGACCCGGTGCCGATAGGCAGACTCGATCGATGGCAGATGGTGCAGCACATGCACCAACAGTTCTGGAAACGGTGGCATGAAGAATATCTACACACCCTCCAGCAACGACCAAAGTGGCTAAAGCCGGCTGACGCGATATCAAAGGGCACGTTGGTCCTTCTAAAAACCGAAAACGCCCCTCCTCTGGCGTGGAGACGAGAGCGCGTCGAGGAATTGCATCCGGGTCGTGACGGGGTCGCCCGGGTCGCTACGGTGAGGACGGCGGATGGCCTCCTTAGTCGCCCTCTGGTGAAGCTGTGCCCTCTGCCGATGGACGGCTCACCGGAGGGACTCGCTCAAACATAGAAAATACGGTGTATTTTGGTGGGCGGTAATGTTTGGCGCACCGCCGTGTATCATAGTGTAAATAGTAGCTAATTATAGGATCGATTTCGTGTTGTCGCTTCATATTGTTAATTGTACGGTTTTTGTATTGATTGGTTATACCGGGTTGAATTATCGCGCCTATTAGCAAAACGTCGGTGGATCGCGATTGCTACACTTGTCGATATGCGCGCGACTCACCCGACTCGTGCTGCCCGCCCGCGGGTGGCATCCCCCATTATGGGAAGAATTCGGTACTCGCTCGCGCCGTACTTCGCAGGTGCGCGAGCCGGAGAACGGAAGAGAGGGACTCCTCGTCAAACAGTCGGAGAGGACACATCTCTCCGCAGAACTTTTCGTCAAGCCGCCGTGCGGCACACACACACATATTCGCAAGCCAGCCGTCTTACGGCAAACACATTTTGGCCAGCCGTCTTACGGCAGGGACTCATCAGTCGAACGTCGTGAAGCTCACACGTTACCGTTTTCGCGTGCGCGAACTCGGAGTGCTCGGTCGCCCATCGCAGACCACGAAGACCTAATCGCTTGCTATCCTGCCTATCTGTGCCTGCTTGCTATACCTGCCTGCCCGCTTGCTATGCCGGACTGTTGCATGCTTTCGCCTTGCACGCCAGAGATCTCGCCAACGGGAGGACGACGTCAACACCCAGGAGGCGCCGGGCAACGACACGGTGAGTCGCCACGCATCTTTTTGATATTCGCTTACTTGCTTCGCTTTATTCGCTTTCGCGAGGGCACGGGCCCTTTGGTCCTTCGAGAAATTTTGTTGACCAATCGCAAATCCGGGGAGCGCCTCATACCCCCCCGTGCATTGGTCCTTCGAGCCGGATTTCGCGTTAGAAAATTACCGCCGACCTTTCGCTCACGTCGCATTAATCATTAACTTGTTAATTTTCGCACATTCTTGTAATCGCGCATCGCGATAGCACGTGGCGCGTGGTAGTCTCTCGCGATATCTTTCGTTCGCAACTCTTTGTGACGAGAATATTCGCGTGAACTTCTCTTGGCGCAACCATGCCATTGCTGTTATCTGCCTTTGTCGTGAATACGCTTAATTATTTGTTCTTATAGTCGCGAGATGCAGTAACGCGCGGCGTGTTAATAATCTTTAGTCTCGCGCGATATCTCTCGTTCGCAATTCTTAATTCGCAGCGAGAATACTCGCGTGAACTTCTTTCGCTCGTCGTAACACGTTCCGTCGCTGTTATTCGCATTAACGCGAATTGCAATAACGCGTGGCGTGTTAATAATCTAATTAACTCGCGACGAGAATATTCGCGTGAATCCACGATCTCGCGCGGTATCTCTCGCTCGCAATTCTTTCGCTCGTTGTAACACGTTCCATCGCCGTTATTAGTACTAGTCGTAAATTGCGCAATTGACGCGGTAATTAGTTAAAGCCCGTCATTGTTAACATAGAAGCCGAAATATTCAGATCTCGAATATTCTCGGGCTGGCCATACGTTTTCGCCGCGCCGTCGACGGCCTTGACGCTCAGTCACGGGCCGGCAGCGTATGTACACAGTTTTTCTACATAAGCTCGCGTTCCATAATAACGCGTTACCTTATTTTCGTTGTTGCTGGATGTGTTTCGGCCAGACTCGAAATACATATTGAAAACACATACTGAATATTATTCCGATCGTTGGAATTCTCGCAAACATAATTGCCACCGATCGAATATACTGTTCGTCGGCACTGGTTCCCGGTATAGAATATATTGCAGCACTCAAGGTAATCTCATCAAAGATTATAATTACAATTGTAATCACAATTGCAAAGAGTTGGCGTAATTGATGCTCATGTCGTGGATTATTGCTCGTGTCATGTGTATACTGCTCATGTCGTATACGCTGCTCGTGTCGTAGCTCCGCGCGCAACATGTATTACTAAAAACTTAATTTGAACAAATACTTGAGTGCATTCCTCGCCGTAACCGGGCACCTGTGCCAACCTAATTGATAATTTTGATCGTTAATATAACTATATTATTTTGTATCCTTTGCAACCATCTTCCTCGTTAATTATCCTACTTGATCCCCCCCTACCGCCAGTGCTCGCACCCTATTATTTTGCATCAACCTACCGTCGCTTTAAAATTGTACGAATCGTTATTATAGCCTCTCGAAAATATCCGTCGTGCCTCCGAACAGAAATTCGAGCCGAGCCGACTCGTCATCATAACAAGGAGATAGTTGTTTCGTTTTGCTTCCGGCGTTGTTGATATTCTCACATCGAAGTGAGCTGCTATCGTCACCTTGGTTGACCTAGTGATTGTATTCCGGGCATCATGAGTCGAGGGAATGTAACCAAACGCGAGTTATGCGTGAAACGTATGCGGGAGATTCATGAGCTGTCGACGCTCGCCGCGGACAATGTAAATCAGAGATCGAACTTTCGCGTGCGATATCCCATCGTGACCAAATTGGTCGAGGAC